ACCAATTCAACTTGTAAGGTTAGTGTCTAAATGTGTAGTTGCGAGCAATTTATTCGTTTCCTTACATTCTCTTGATACGAGGATTAATCGGTTTAAACTGATTTGACTTACCGAACGGATCAATTTGGATGACTCGGCTCGATTAATCGAATTATCTAAATCAATATATATATATGTTCAGTAATTTATTTTCATTCATCAAATGATCTTAAATTTGTGTAAAATCCAAGAGTTTTAAATTATTTAGGTAGATCTTAATTTCTCTAAATATATATATATATATATATATATGAAACAACCTGGGACCTTTCGTACAAATGTTCTAGTATTTAACCATTAAACTAAATTAAGAATCTGTTCATGTTTCATCAAAAAGTAATATTAATTTAGATAATAGTCAGATTAAAAAATAAATTAAAAATTATGTGTTCACTTCATTTGAGAATAAAAAATTTAATTAATCTCTTCATATACTTTATAGAACATTATAAAAATTAAATTTATAATATATATTTATTATAAAATAAAAAATATTTAATTCTTTTATAATAAAATTATTATCATTTTCTGAAATCATGTATCGTTAATAAAAATATATAATCATATTTTTATAGGTTATGAACTGAAATTATTTATGTATGCGTATAGTTTATATTATTTTAAAATATTTTTAATTAAATTTAAATTAAGATATAGTATTAATTAATGTATTATTCATATTATTTAAATTAATATTTTTATTAATGTGTCACGTTATCAATTTAACATTTTAATAACCAAAATTTGATAAAATGGATTAAAACTTAATATTTTTAAATTTAATAAATAAGTGTACAAAAATGAAAGGTAAGTGACCACTCCTGTAGTTTACCCTATTTATATTGTCTTAACATTTAAATATACAATTTAATAGAGTGTCACAATTTCTTTCAACAAACCCCATTTTTGAAACTCAAAAAGTTATTTCAACAAAGCTTCAATCTCTCTCAAAGATCAGTGTTCTCTTCTCCTTTTCCTGCTCTTCGCCTCTCCCAACAGGTATTCGCGCCCTTTATTACTCTTGCTCTTTTTTTCTTCTTCTTTATATTCAAGAGAGGACCCTAGATCTATTTGTCTTTGTTTCCCTTTTCTTTTTATTTTGGCTCTTTTTATGTAAATTGTTGTTGTTGTTGCTTTCTTTTTTGCACTTCAAGTAAAAGTTTCTAAAAAAATGAAATGGTCTCTTGGTTGTAAAGAAAAATGGATTTTCCTCCTAAGAGGACTGATTTTTTTGTTATTTTGTTTCGCATAGGACATTGGTTTTATGCACGAACAAGTCGAGGATTGACAAAAGTGAAACGGGTAATTGCTGGTTCGGAGAAAAAAAAGGAAAACTTTTGGTTAAAAGGCCTTATTTTTGTTTAATCTTGGTTGGCATAGGAAAGAAAATGTATTTTCGATTGGTCTTTTGAGAGGGGATTTGGTATATTAGGTTTTTGGTTGTGTTAGTTTATCAATTCCGTGTTCAGGTACGGGTTGGGGTTTGAAGAGCTTTGAATGAGGGGAGTTTGGGGTCTGCCTTGTGCATTTATGCATTTGTTCTTGAAATAAAATGTATCTGATAATTTCATTTCTCTAAGAGAAGCAGAGAGTTATTTACTTTTGTTCCATGTATCTTGTTGCGTATATGAGAAAAGATGTTTTTGAATCATTCGGACTGAAGAGAGTTTATATGAATGGTCAGGTCTAATTCCAGGCTCTAATTTTTGGAGCTGACTGATAAACTTCAGGTGTGCGGTCGGTGGGGTGGTTTCAGGTGGACTTTAAGAATGATATAGTTCTCATAGAGTTTTTGTTTTGAGATTCGGACAAACTCGGCTTAAGTAAAGGTGATTACATGGGAATTCAGACAATGGGGTCTCAAGGTGATGGTGTTAGTAATGGCAATCAGTTACAATGTCAGCAATTAACACGGCAAAATTCAATGTATAGTCTCACGTTGGATGAGGTCCAAAATCAGTTGGCTGACTTGGGAAAACCTCTGAACAGCATGAACCTGGATGAACTTCTCAAGAGTGTATGGACCTTGGAGGGTAACCAGACTTTTGGTACGGACACCGAAGGAACAGCAGTTACCAATCATACCTCTCTGCAGCGTCAGGCAAGTTTGTCGTTAACGAGTGCTTTGAGCAAGAAGACGGTTGATGAGGTTTGGAAAGATATTCGACAAAGTAAAATTGACGGGGAAAAGAAATCTAGAGAAAGGCAGCCTATCCTTGGAGAAATGACATTGGAGGATTTCTTGTGAAGGCCGGAGTTGTTACTGAAGCATCAACTGATGAAAATGTTGGTGTTCCTATTGCTGAGGTCAATCCAAGTGTTGCAACGCAGTTTGCAGAACACGGTCAGTGGATGCAGTACCCGCAACAACCACAATATCATCATCCACAACAAAGTATAATGGGGGTTTATATGCCGGCCCAGCATATGCCACAGCCATTAGCCTTAGTGAATCCTGGTGCAATGGATGTCTCTTACCCAGAGAACCAGGTGGCATTGCCTTCGCCTTTGATGGGAACATTATCAGATACTCAGACATCTAGAAGGAAAAGAGATACCCCGAGGACATTGTTGAAAAAACTGTTGAAAGGATACAGAAGAGGATGATAAAGAACAGGGAATCTGCAGCACGTTCACGAGCAAGGAAGCAGGTCGGCTTTCATTTATTCTCTCTCTCAAACTTGCATGACAATCATACCGCTCCTTTTGTTCTATTTGAAATGTTTTTATGATATCATTTTCCGAATTATCAAGTGAACCCGAAAGATATTTATAAACAGGCTTATACTAATGAACTGGAGAACAAAGTTTCACGACTAGAAGAGGAAAACGAAAAGCTGAGAAAGCAGAAGGTTAGATCTGTTTTAGAACCCACTTTCCTGACTCATTTACACTCAATTCATGAACTTTAAACGGTTTATTTTAAAAGTATAATAGATTCAATTTTTTTCCAACCTGTTCTTTGACAGAACTAGTATTTTTCGTGTTTGCATTTCCAATATATATTTACTTGTGCCTTTTCATTGATAACCTGTATCCATAGTTATTTTTCGTGTTTGCATTTCCAATATATATTTACTTGTTCCTTTTCATTGATAACCTGTATCCATAGTTGGTTTGCAGTTGTTCCTCCTCTTCAAGTAGATCATATTGTTTACTTGTATCGTTCCAGTTTCTCGTTATCTAAACGAATATATATCACAGCATTTTAAATCAAGTTTGATGCATTCTTCAGTTTTGCACGGCGAGTGGTTTTATGAGAATCGAAAGTTTGTTTTGTTTTTTTTGATCGGTCTAAAGGCCGTCTTGCCTTAATCCTGCATTTTACTAAATCCTATAGGTTTTCTGACAATGTTAAAAGGTACTGATCATAGTCAATAAATGAAACATTTCGAAACCAATCAAACCATCAATTGTATGATTCGTATCCTCTGCCATGCGCAGCCAAACCGACCGTGAACCTCCATGGACTCCGAATGACATATCATCTTTTCATTCATCTGTGCTTCTGCATAAAATTCATTTTCATTCTTGGTTTCTGATCTTTATACTCTTAGGAGCTGGATAAGATGTTGCCATCTGCACCACCACCGGAGCCAAAATATCAGCTTCGCAGAACATCGTCTGCCCCGTTCTAACAATTTCCTTAGCGGATACTGTGGAAGTTTTGCATATACAAACCAGCGTCTGGCTTCTGTTTCTAGTTTCAATTGAGGCATAAGATAAAAAGTGAGCACCACAATGTGCAATGCCGTCTGGAAGCTACCATTGATGGTTGCTTCGAACTTGTAAGAGTTTTTTACCAAATGTATCTACCATGTTTTAATATGAAATCAATTCAAACTAGAAATCTTCATCCTACCTTTGCCGCGAATGTGTAGTTTTGTGTCTTTTCTTTTTCTCTTGATCTGCGCATTTCGCCATTTTTGCAAAGTTTATCGAGCAAACACACGTGCATACAAGGATAGTAGTAAATTATTTTAACTGAAAAAGCTGAGTCATCGTTCTTAAATGACATTTTTTTAATGTGAACAAATCGACACTCCTATTTTTACAATTTCTAACAAACGTGGTTAAAGATAATGTTTTTTTTTAAGTATTGGATTTGAGTAAACGAACCATAATATATGATTTAATTATTGAAAGATTACCGATAAACGTAAATCAAAGTCAAACATCGTGATAAAATCATCTACAAAAACAGATTGCATATCAAAATCAAATTCAAAGGTTCAAATCAGGGAAGATCAGTAAAATAACAAATGAGTGACATCTTAATCAGTCGCGATGATATTAAATCTAATTCCAAGATAAATAAATGGTAGGAATAACAAAACGACCAAAGAAAATCCTAAAATATATGCTAAAAAGTAGAAAAATCTAATTCCAAGATAAATAAATGGTAGGAACAACAAAACAACCAAAGAAAATCCTAAAATGTATGCTAAAAGGTAGAAAAATTGACATAAAACAGAAAATTCATGTCATAAAAATATATTTATTGGAAAAAAAATAAAGATACGAGATAAAAAGAATAGTAACAATGATAATGTAATACTAAAACTGATAACACCCTCTATCAACCAAAAGATAAAAAAAAGGAACAAACAATAGTATAGAGAAAAGAAAAGAGGGAGCGGCCAGATATATATACCACTTATTGAAGTTTGATTCTATTCAACATATATATTTTGATCAAATTTATCTATTATATAAATAAATAAATAATTTAAATTTATTTAGACTATTTTCCTGAATTTTTTTATTTAACCTTTATTACATCAAGACATAAACCAATAATAATTAGAAATAAAATCTGTGTTAGGATATCAAATTTATTAATGCAAACAATCTGGGCTGTGAATAATAATTATATTTGATTTTTTTAACTTTAGATAGAATTTTGGTACAAATACGAGCAAGAACACTTTTAATAATAATGGAAACCAAAGCAGTGTCAGTCAAACGGGTACAAAGCAGTGAAGGAGCACTCGTAAACAAGTACCAAAAAAACCAAAGCTCTTGCAACAGAGTTTCAATTTTCTTTCCTAGTTTTTGACTGTTTAATTTCGTCTTCTCCAGTTCGTGCTCTTTGCCTTTCCAGCAGGTAATAGCTCCTTTTCTTACTTATGAAACTCTAATTTCTTTGTTTTCTTCCTCCTCATATTCAAGAGAGAATCGTAGATCTGTTTTTCTTTATTTTTCCCCTCTATGTTTCGGTAGATTTGTTGTATATATAATTTGTGTTGTTTTTTAGCAGGACCAAGTAAAAGTTTGTGAAAATGAAATGGGTATCTCTTGGTTCTAAAGAAAAACGAGTTTATTTTTGTATGTGTAATTTTATTTCACTTAGGAAATTGATTTCTGTGCATGTATAAATTTTAGAAAAATGAAACGAGTATTTTTCAGGTTTTGAAGAAAAAAGGAATTTTTTTTTGGGCTAAAAACCCTAATTCGTGTTTAGTTTTGGCTCGAACAGGAGCTTGGGTTTGTCATAGAAGAGGGAAAACTGGAGTGATTTGAAGAAAAGGGAGGAAATTGGTTGAAAAGCTTTATTTTTGTGCAATTTTGTTTCACTTAGGATGATCGTCTTTTTGCATGAACATGCCATGGGTGGAGCAACATGAAATGGATATTTCCTGTTTTTGAAGAGAAATGAAAAAACAATGGTTAAAAATCTTTGTTTTGTTGGTATTTTTAGTCCATACAGGAGCTTGTTTTGTGCATAGAAGTGGGAGAACTGGAGCGATTTGAAGAAAAAGGAGGGAAAAACTCGGTTGAAAAGCTTGAATTTTGTTTGAAATGGACGGAGGGTTAGGTGGAAACACTGTTCCGACGAATACCAGTGACAAATCTAGAGTTTTGAATGTAAAGCCACTACGAACATTGTTTCCACTATTCCCTGAGCCGCCTGAGGGTCCTCCTTTTGTTTGTGTACCACCAAATGGCCCTTTCCCGTCAGGGTTTTCACCATTTTTCCCTTTTAGTGGTCTGCAAGGATCCCAATCTACGCCCGACCTTAACCAAAATCATTTCAATTCAACTGCTGTTCCGCTTCGGTCGTTCAGAGCCGAACCGCCAGGTTCTGGCAATGGCAATCATAAACACAAGTCAGCAGGACCAAGCTCCGTGAAAAGGAAAGCAAAGAGGAGAAAAGAATCAGAATCTGTATTAACTTCACTAATGAATTTAATTCCTGGAATTAGTTTACCCGAACGAGACGATGGTAACAGGGAATTGGTTGAAAGTGTGCTTTTGCGGTTCGATGCACTTAGGAGAAAACTTAGCCAAATGGAAGATGCAAAGGAATTACATTCTGGCATTATTAAGCGTTCGGACTTGAAAGCTGCCAACATGATGTTCACCAAAGGGGTACGGACTAACATGAAAAAGAGAATCGGGGTTGTTCCTGGTGTTGAAATTGGGGACATTTTCTTCTTCAGGATGGAGTTGTCTTTAGTGGGGTTGCATTTTCCGTCCATGGCTGGAATTGACTACATGGCTGTCAAGGGTGGTGAATCAGAGGGTGAGCGGCTGGCTTTAAACATTGTTGCATCTGGAGGGTATGATGACGATGATGAAGATCCGGATGTTTTGGTATATAGTGGTCAAGGTGGGAGTGCGAGTAGAGATAAAGAAGCATCAGATCAGCAGCTTGTAAGGGGCAATCTTGCTTTGGAAAGGAGCTTCCATCGAGGCAATGAAGTACGAGTCATACGAGGTTTGAATGTCAGTCTAGTGTCGAAGGTTTATGTGTATGATGGGCTTTACAAGATCCAAGAGTTGTGGACGGAGAAAGGGAAGTCAGGTTGTAATATGTTCAAGTATAAACTGGTAAGGATCCCTGGACAGCCAGCTGCTTTTGCCACTTGGAAATCGATTCAGAAGTGGAAAGAGTCTTCGAGGGTCGGACTTATTCTTCCTGACATCACTTCAGGTGCAGAAAGCATGCCTGTTTCACTCGTAAATGAGGTTGATGACGAGAAGGGCCCTGCTCACTTCACATATTCCCCAACCGTCAGGTATTCAAAATCATTCAAACTAGTGCAACCTTCGTATGTTTGCAACTGCCACGACGCGTGTCAACCTGGAGATTCTAGCTGTTCCTGCATTCAGAAAAACGGAGGTGATTTCCCTTACACTACGAATGGGGTTCTAGCATGTCGAAAACCCATGATATATGAATGTGGTCCTTCGTGCCCATGCATTCGAAATTGCAAAAACCGGGTTATACAAACTGGTTTGAAAGCTCGCTTAGAAGTTTTTAAGACAAGAGATCGTGGTTGGGGTCTACGGTCTTGGGACCCTATTCGAGCAGGTACATTTATCTGTGAATATGCAGGTGAAGTTATTGATGAAACCAACGCAAGGCAGGATGGTGAAAACGAGTACGTTTTTCATACAAGCCGTCTCTACAAATCCTTCAAGTGGAATTTCGAATCTGAAAGTACTGAAGATTTTGATATCCCGTCTCCCGTAATCATAAGTTCGAAGAACAGTGGCAATGTAGCTCGATTTATGAACCATAGTTGCTCTCCAAATGTTTTCTGGCAGCCAATCATGTATGAAAGTAATAATGAAGCGTTTCTACATATTGCATTTTTTGCAAAGAAACACATCCCTCCCATGACAGAGCTGACATTCGATTATGGTACTCCGCTGTCAGACGGGACCGACGCCGACAACAACCCTGCATACGGAAAGAAGCAATGTTTATGCGGATCAGCTAAATGCTGTGATTATTTCTACTGAGCTTCTGATTGCCGACTTCTTGGTCTCGTGAAGGAGGTACGGAATCTAGGTAATCTTTGTCTAAAATCATGCAACTCTATGCATTTCATCTTAATGTTTGTAGCCTGTTTTTATGTTACTGCCATTAATTGCAGAAGAACTGGAAAATGTATGGAATACCATGTTCGATGGTGGTTTTGTAGAACGTTAATCTATGGTTAAAGTTAATGGCAAATTACTTGGTATTTCACTTTCATCTGCAACCGACACGCACATACAAGTAAGAATGTGTTCGTGTTCGTTTGTTTATTTTTGAAGATGTTTATGTTTGGTCTGTGTTAATTTAAATTTTTAATATCATATTTGTATTCGTTTATTTATTTTTAAAGGTATTTGTGTTCGTTTATTTATTGTTAACGAATATATTCTTTTATATTTAGCGTTCATTTATGTGTTACCTTTTAATTTTTAAACTAGAGAAAAATGGTAAAATTAAGCCACTAGTGCTTAAACTTCTTAAGATTCATAGTTTAAACTCTAAATGTCATCGTGTGTTCAATTTAGTCTATACATTCATCAACATTTAAAATGTGAAAAAATAAAAGGAAAATGAGAATAAGGTAAACAAGCTTCTAAACGAACTTGTTTATGATCATAAACGAATGAGTCGATAAACAAGCTCATAAACGAGATTATTCGAGGATATCAACAAATTGAAAATATCTCAGTTCGTGTTTGTTCGTTTATCAAATGAACATAAATTTTTTATTAATACTTGTTTATTTAGTTTAACAAACAAATACAAACTAAAGTTATATATACGGTTTATGAATAATTAACTAAAAATTCTATTCATTTACACTGTATATATGAGTATTAAATGTGAAAATAATTTAAAAACTGACTCAAAATGATTTTTTATTAAGTATTCATCTTCAACACTGGTATTTGATGCAATCCAGTTGTAGTTATAAAATATGAGGCTTCAAAGATTCTATGAAGACAAAGGAAGAAACTTGCAAAAGGAAACTCAACATATCCATGTCCTTGCATCCGAATCCGAGTTCAATAAGGTAAGCACGGAAGAATACATAAGGTATCGTATATTAATAGATCAACGGAAGATTACATGATGTATCGGATATTAATAGATCAAATATCGATAGTTGAATTAAAAAAAACTTTGCGGAGGATAATATATTCCACCAAAAACTATTTGTAATGGATATAATGATGAAGCCTTTCCTCTAGAGACGAAGAACCGGATAAGATGTGTTCAAAACGCTGTTTGCGTACCTTAAACTTCAATCACAGATGAATTTGCTTATAAACACGAATGATTTTACGTTTCATGTTAATCTCCTAATCTCTAGCGCCAATATTTTAGATCGAAACTCAAGCCGTTGAATCGCGCGGCACGTGCTGTTAAATTTAAATTCCAATAGCGCCAGCGTACAGAGGTGCAGCTGATAACATCAATGAGACAATTATTATTGAGGGGGAAAAGTCAATTATTTTATTTTGTCAATGATCAAAAAACAAAATCACTTTTCTCGAGAAAAGATTAATGGCGGCTTCTTCAGCTTTTGAATCCTCTTTAAGAAGAGGGAATCCGACAACAGCGGCGTCCTCTAGAAAAACGACACCGTCCAACTCTTCGGCAAGAGCTGCGGCAGCTCCCCCTCGGAGATCCAGAAGCGTAAGTGCCTTCTCAAGAACCTCTAATTCCGATTTCTCCGATTTCTCCATTAAAAGAGACAATCCTCTCTTTGACAACAACAACGACGACTATGACGAAGCTGGGTTCCCGAATTCCGGCCGAATCACCTCTAAAACGATGGTCAAAGCAACCGCCGCCGATGATTACAATAACAAGCGAGGTCGATCTGTTTCCAGATTTGGCTCCGATAGTAAACACGGGTCGGGTTCGGGGAATAGCCAGGAATTGTCTCGGGGCTTGTCCGTTGTGGATACAAGGAGAAGTGGTCGCTCCGTCTCCCGCAATCCACCACTTTCAAGAACGCATTTCGCTACTTCTGAGGTTTTGCTGACTTTCAATTCCATTTTTTTAAATCTGATTTTTGTTTAATTTAATATCAAATTTTGAATGAGTGTTTTGCTCAGGGCTGAAAAATATTGAGAAAACCCAAAATTGACTATAGCTCTGCTGCTCTTGTGTTCGTTGTCTTTGACTAGATTATTTATTTATTTTTGAAATCGGTGGGCTTTTGATTCAAGTAATGGATAAATTTTTATTGTTCAAATTGATCTTAACTGAATTTATTTGTTTTATATAATTTTAATTATTTTGAATTTATAACATAAAAATAAATATATTTGTAATTACTGATAAAACTTAAAAAAATTATAATAAAAATTATATTTTTCAAAACTTAAAAAAACCTGAACTTAACTGATGAATTTGGTTTGGATTAGTTTGATTATCTATGAAATTCGGTTCTGTTTTTAAAACAAAATATTGAGATTTTTATTCCAATTTGAATCATAATTTGCTTAGATCTCAAATTCTGATTATATACGTTAAGTTCATGTGTTCTACATTAGTTGAAAATATTTTATATTTATATAAAATTTCGATGTATTAGTCATATTATATTTATTTTGAAATATTTCTGAATTTGCTTTGTTTTTTATTGTTTTATTTTCTTTCATGCTATGCTTGTGTCGTGTGATCCTATTATGTCTACTATTGCCAAAGTCTTATTTTTTCTACTTGGGTTTTTTCTTTTCTCTCTCATTGAAAATGGAAAAGTAAATTGTAAAACAACCAAATTACATTTGAGGAATTAGTTCTATCAAATGTAAAACTGATATTCAAGTACAATAATTTAATTATATTACAGAACATTATTTTCATTTATATTAGTATATATTATATTTTATACTTGTTACATAATAATGTAAATAATTTATTTTCTAAATAGATAAACTTGATCTTACCAAATGAGCTGGCCAACTAAGTTGGATTGAAATTACTTGGTTAATCATAAGAAGCCTTTTTCTATTCCTTTTTTTAAAATTATTTTTACTGATATTTCTTTATTTTGGTAGAGTGAGGTGGAGCAAGAAGGTAATTCCCGGATGAAATCCAAGATTAAGGGTAGTTTACTAGCTACTTCGGGGAATGGTCAAAAGGGTAATTTAGTCCAAAGCATATCTAGTTTGACACGGTCTGGCCAGCGGAAGTGTATAGATCCTTCGGATTCTCCTACAAGTTTGGTACTAACTTTATAGGCCTTTTCTTATTTCTTAATAAAATGTTTTTGAAAGATTTGTTTGATATTGAATGCGAACAAGGAGTCTTTCTTTGTAATGTAATTTTTTTTTTTGGTTTAGTCTCGAGTAGAATCTGCAAAATGGAGTGATTTAGTCTCAACAGGTTCTTTTCCAGAAGCTGAACCAGTGGAGGTGAGATTTTGGGTAATATGAATTGGTTGTTGTATGTGGAAGTTTTAATCACTGCCTGGAATAAAACTGAGAAACCTAAAAATCTTTCAAGTCGGTTGTAGTTGAGTTCGGTTCAGTTTTAGTCCGGACTCTGGATAATATATAAACACATTTGTTCTGTTTCTGGATGAGAAATTAAGAACCTGATGGACCAAATTGATCCAAGTTGGTAGAATTTGGTTTCGTATGACATTTGATTCATCTTCTATTTGGTTTTAAGAATATCAAAATACTGAACGGTAACTGTAATTTCTTTTTAAAATTGGGCCATTATTAGTTATTATCCATTCTCCGGTTAATTTATTGAATCATAGTTTAAGAAGTGCTTAATATTTGAATCTCGGAGCTGATCAATATATAAGTTTACATGTCAAAGTCTGCTGATCATTTTGTTTGTCCTGCTTTATTTTTCCAGCCATTTGAAGGGGATAATTTTGTGGGAGATGATTCTGCTGCTAGCGACAGATACAGTACTGTTAAATCCGAAGTGATGCGGGCTATTTCCGACATCCAAAATGAGCTTCATGGTGTAAGTTATTTTATTTTTTTGGATTCAAGATTCTACTTTGGGTCCCTAGATGAGTTCAAGTCCTTAAACACTAGTTACTTTTGTCTTTGAAGCTGCTTCTCAACATGCTCTTTTAAACTATGACCCTCCTAGTACAGACGTCAAACTGTTTGCCGGTCAGTGATCTGTTATTGCTTCTTATGATTTCAGGCTATCAGGAGGAATAATCCAACTACCGATGTAGTCGAGTTTGTGTCAGATATACAACATGAATATGCTACAAAACTCGAGCAGGTAATTTTCTTCTTTGCAATCATCTATATTACTCAGGAATAACGACTCGTATGCAAGTGTCAGATTTGGGCATGCATTTGACACATGTCTGTTCAATGTTCAGTATATAGGGTACTTAATGGGTCAGGTCCTCGTATTTATATCCGAAAATGTATTAGACAAGGGTTTCAAATATGAGCACTTGAAAGAAAAATTTAAAATCAAAGTAGCATAGCTGCAATGACTTCAACATTAATCTTCTTACTTGCAGTCTAGCTTCATTTATTGTTGCTATATTAGGAGTTCTGAGATACTATTAGGCAGCATTTAGAGAGTAGTGTGTGATATTTGAGTTAAAGATATATGTTAGAGGCGAAGAAGGGTGATGCCAATTTTGTAAGACATTTATAATTTTCAGATAGATTTGAGTTGAAGAGATACGAGCACTTGGCCACTAATATCACCCTATTTTCTTTAAACTGTGCCAATCCATTTTGGTCTGGATGTGTGAGGCAGATCAGCAGCACATTCCCTTTGGTTGGCCAGATCAGAGGCCTACGGCTTTTTCTTCTTCTTCCCACCTCCTTCCCTCTTCCTTTGGGGCGTTGGACCCTCAGTATAATCTGGTGATTGCTAGGATTCTTTTACCATGTGTCCTGATTGGATTGGTTGTTCTGGCCTTGTCAACCAATTTAATAGTGTTGTTTAATCTCAGCCAAATTACTTGACAGAATGAAAGTTTAACATAAGTAAAAATATTTGTTCTTTTAGGTACCAAATTTTAATGTTACTCTGGCTAAATAAATATTTAACCAGTATATTTTCCTATTTCCTTACTTTTGCAGTCCCAGGAACGTGCCAGACAACTTCGAGCTGACATAGCTGTAGAGGAACACCGGGGCATGGAGCTTAGTAGGATCCTTAAGGAAGTGCTTCCAGATGCCAAGGCTCCTAGCACAAAAAAATCTCGTCCAGGAAGAAAAGTAAGCATTAAGACAATTTCTGAAACAGTTTTACATTTTACATACTAAGGCACTATTTGTGCTGCTCCATGCCTATAATTGCTCATATGTTTATTGAACCAGTCCTATCGAAGAAAACTTTATTCAGATTCTTGTGTTCATTTCAGCTAATTGTTCATGCAGTTTATTGGGTTCTTTATATGAGAGAATTTGATTCTGTTCTAGAGCTATGCACTCTCATTCGTATGAATCTCATTTTAAGTTGGAGTAACTTTCGCTGCAGTTGTTTACTCATTTTACATCACTGATCCTTATATTGAGAATTTTAGCGTTAATCTGCAGATATGCTGGTCTTTGAGTTTGCTTCTTTGCTTTCTCTCTAAATCAATTCTACTTAAATATGGTGACAGTCTAGTATCGAGAGAAGGAAGATATCGAAATGTCTGACCGATGATGCCCTCGCCTATTTTGATGAGTGCGTCTCACTATCAACATTTGACGGCTCAGACTTCTCATCAATAGAAGATCCACCAGTCAAATGTGTGGGCACCGTTGATGTTGATGGAATATTTTTACCGCAGGCAAACAGTTCGGACAACGAATGGAATCGAAAACTCCAGTTTTCCTTTTCTCCCAAACCAGGTCCGATATGCGAGATCCAACAAGACATTAAGAAGTATGTCAAAGGTTTCGAGAAAGACGTCGGGAAGATCAACAATGGTTCACAAATTATACAAAGAAATCCTTATGATCCTAACGAATATAATTTGCAGGCCTCACAACAAAGCTTGTTGTTTGATCATGTGTTCCTCAAAAACAGGTTAGATTCAGGAAATTTGCTTCTCTGCAGCGGCGGATGTTTTTCAGCTTCATTATTGTCTTTTGCTTCTTTAATCTAAATTTTATTTACTTCTAAACATAAATAAATTTAGTATTATACCATTATTTGTTTTCGTATTTTTCGTGCATACGGATTGTTTTATATTTAATTTTTACAAATTATCAATGTATATATTAATTAATTTTTGTTTTAATATGTAAACCAATGTTTATTTTGTTTTATTTTTTAATATTTCATTGAAATTAAATATACTAATGACCTAAAGTATACAATAGACAAGCTCCTAGTCCCATAAGAATAAGAGCAGCTATCCTCATATTAATTATCAATGCCCTGTCTTCCTTCCCCGTTTCTTTGTTTCCCTTCACTTTCTCTTCAACTTTGGTTGCAGGATCTATGGCTGCTTCCTTGCTTCGTTTTGTACTTACGTCGTCTTTCACGCCATTGTCATTGTTCTTAACGGCACTCTGCGTCTCCGGGATTTCTCGTTTTCCTTCATCAATTTTTGCAGTTTCGATTTCATCCATGGCAGGTACAGCAGCTTCATAAGTACTTCTTTCTGGTTTAGCTGCTTGTTCGACCAACTCTTCTTCCGGTTTCTCGTTGATGGAATCTCTATCATCGCCTTGTTTTTGTTCCGGAGGATCAACCGCTGTTGTTACCTGATCAAGTTTGGTGCTATCTTCAACTGATTGTTGTTGGGATTGAAGTTTAGGAAACCTTGGTATTTTGAGCATGAGAAGTCCTCGTCCGAATTGTTTGTCAATTTTAGACAAATCAAGATGTCGGGGAATTTCGTAGGTTTCATCGACAGGCAATATTCTGTTATTAGGAAGCCGACGCTTTCCTTCAACTCGGACACTTGAATTCGAATAGTCCGGTGTTATCGTCAATTGATCCATGGCAAATCCTGCAAAATCGACGATTTTAGACACCATCAGAAGGAAAACGATGGAAGATATAATGCCACTAGTATGATACATCAAAATACACCAACTTACCATAACCAACGTAGGATAGACCGTTGTTGGATCAAAACTTGTATTAATACCTTACATATGATTAATGTACTTAAATATATATAAACACTAAAACATGAATGAAGCTAAATTTGTAAAGTAAAAAAAGATACTTACAAATATGATATAAATTAAAAGAATAAATACAAATATATGAATGTGCCAGAGTTAACGTAATATGACCTAATCTTTTTATAAATATATAATACTTTAAATATTATTACAATATATATAAAGGTTGAAAAAGAGAGACCGAAATGATAATACAATACGAAAGAACATCATATGATTGATTAATTGTTGAAATAAGCAATTTTCATTAATTTTTAAGTATATGATTTTAAATAATAATAATAAAAAAGAATACCAGTAAGATAAAGTAATAAAAAGCTGGCTTGTTCTTCATGCTTCCATTCTGATTTGGGTTTAAAATTCTGAACGGCTGAGGATTGCTGTTGTTGAGCAGACAAACCACTACTTCCCCTCGTGCCCATCGAGATTTCTTTCTTTTTTCTTTTTTTTTAAATTAAAAATAAAATTATGGGTTTGATATTAAAGCTTTAAGCAAATGTGGGTGTGTATATATTTATATATGTGAAGAACTTTTGAGGTTTGATTGTAGACTAAGTAAAGTAATTCCTTTTGTTGGTTGTTTTGCGGTTTATTTGGAATTTGTGCTTTGTTTTTGTTATAAAGGAAACAAGAGAGGTATTACTTCCTCAATAGGTAATGCCATTATTCTTTCCCTACATTTTAAACCTAACAAGGTTTTCTTGCACAATAATTTAAATGTTTTAAGAAAAAAATATTTTACATATTGAGGATGGAAAACATAAAATCTAGCAAGAGTTTTTATTGTTGTCATGTGTATAATTTAAGATTTATATTTGAAGATTATAAATTAGTATTTAGAAATTTAAGATTATAAATGATCTTATTAATAAAGTGAATGTTGTTTTCTCTAAACGATCCAAATTAAAACAGCTGCATTTATATGACGTGTGTGTGCGAACTGTTAATATTGTTACCTTAAATACGTTACTGTTAATATTGTTATACCACATATAGAAAGTAATATACATTCAGTATTTGTATACTCATAATTTAATTGGTTTAAACTATAGTTTGGTATGCATAATCGGTTCATTCTGGCTAGCAGCCATTATGATATCAATCTTTTGATCTGCCATGTTTTGTTTTCTGTAAGTTCTAGGCTTTGTTATCTGGAGTTTGCATTCTCTTAGACGTGTTCATGTTAGAGACATAGTTGGATATGATCCTCTCAGTATATGAAAAAGGATCTTAGGAAAAAATGAGTATATCCGTATTTGGAACTCGATCCCAAGTTCGGATATCGCAATTCTATCGGTTAATGGTTGGTAATGGACCATTTTTTTATTGCACAGGGAGTGTGTTAAGTGGTGGTGGGAGTGAACCGCTTCCTGAGGCTAGGGCCCAGGATTGGATCAATATGGTTAATGGTTTTCAGATTGGATCTCTGTCTAGTCGCTTAGGAATTCCGATGATTTACGGCATTGTGCTATTCATGGACACAACAATGTGTATAATGCTACAATACTTCCACATAATGTGGGGCTCGGAGCAACCAGGCAAGCATAGCTTTTGATTCGGTTTCTGCTGATTTTTCTCATAGAATCATTAACTTGTGCTTTTTTCATAGTTTAACCTTCCATTCTTTTGTTGGAAGCTTAGTTTTCCATCAAAAGAAATAAAAGGGACAACATTAATAACAGTTTCCGTTAAACTAAATGATTATTGTATGTTTTCATTTGAGAAACTTATTATTGTTCTGAAAGGGAGGATAGGGTCGAGCTTTAGTTGCAGTTCAGTTCAAAAGTAAACTCCATTCGAATGAACTATCTGCATCTTATAACAACTATGGATATGCAGAGATCCTGAGCTGGTGAAGAAGATTGGTACTGCAACTGCTCTCGAAGTGAGAGCTACTGGGATTCCCTATGTCTTTGCTCCATGCATTGCGGTAACTTACATACTTTTTATAAAATCAGACAGTTGTGTCCGGTAATTTTTTGTTAACTTTTCTAAGGTGCTAGCTGCATTTGAAATCACCGCATCACAATACAACGTTTTGCTCTTGACGTTTTCTTTATAGGTATGTAGAGGTCCAAGGTGGGGTCGGTATTATGAAAGCTACAGCGAGGATCATAAAGTTGTGGAACAAATGACAGATATCATACTTGGTCTGCAAGGAGATCTTCCTTCTGGTTCGCGCAAGGGGGTTCCTTATGTCGGTGGAAAGTACGAAACATGATCAAGTTAACATGCTTCATACTGAATAATTGTGTATTCTCTTTAGAGTTCCGTTGTTTATGGTTCTAACTGTCGCGGAAGACGGCTATCGAATAGAGCAAAATCACAACTGATAATTTGAGAAAATAAAAATGAAGATAAAATAGAAACAAAATTTACGTAGAAAACCCCTAAATAATATAGGGTAAAAACCACTGGCAACGGTAGAAGAATTTCAGTATGAGAAAATAGGAATTACAACTTCTTTCGATTTACCAAGGAGAAAACAATGATAATTCTCTCTTGATAAAAGGAGAAAACAACTCTCAAGAAACTCTCTAAATTCTCTAGTATTGTAAGAAAGCTAGAATGTTTTGGGATGGTTTTGAAGCTAAATGAGCTAGGATATTTATAGTTGAAGCTTAATGACTAATTTATAAATACCCTAAAGTTTAGTGACTAAAGTGTGTAAATATACCATCCATTTTTCAACAAAAAAACAAATCACCTTTCGGTGCATTAATTGTATGCACCTTTCGGTGCTTTAGTCAACAATCTCCCACTTGAAGATTTGATTGGAACAATCATATCTTCACACCATTCTTTCTACCTTGTACATTCATGTTGCTTACGTCTCTGATAGGCCACAGGAGGATCGACGCCAAGTAAATTTATCGGTATTGATCGCATTCGTCATGAAATCTGCTATGTTGTTTTTAGTATGGATCTTCTGCATATCTATCGTCTCTTCTTCTACCTTTTCACGAATGAAATGGTACCGAACTCGTATGTGCTTTGTCCTTGAATAAAATGTTGGATTCCTCGCTAGATGCAAAGCGTTTTGACTGTCACAAAACAGAGATACATACTCTTGATTGTGCCCAAGCTCCTCCAATAGCATCTTCAACCAAATTGCTTCTTTACTGGCTTGTGTAGCTGCTACATATTCTGCTTCTGTTGTTGACGTAGCCACAACTAACTGCAATTTTGAAACCCAGCTTACAGCTCCACCAACAATTTTGAACACATATCCTGTAGTAGATTTGCTTTTATCAAAATCCCCTGCATAGTCAGAATCTACATACCCATTGATTAGTAAGTTTGATCCTCCGTAATAATGCAACATTTGAGGTCTCTTTGATATATCTCAGGATCCTCTTACTGTATTCCAGTGCTCTTTGTCTAGATTCACCATATACTGAAACCACTCCCACTGCTTGTGCAATGTCTGGTCTTGTGCATATCATAGCGAACATTAAACTTCCCACAGCTGATGCATACGGCACTCGAGACATCTTTCCTCTCTTCTTCACTGCTAGGACTCATACCGGAGGATAATTTGAAGTTAATAGGAAGTGGGGTAGAAATTGACTTACAATCTTGCATGCTGAATCGTGACAAGATCTTCTTCAAGTAATTCTTTTGTGAAAGCCAAATCTTCCTATACTTCTGTCTCGGTGTATTTGTATCCCTAGAATCTTGTTTGCTGATCCCAAGTCCTTCATTTCAAATTCCCTAGCCAGTTGTGCCTTCATTCTTCAATATGATCTTTGTTGGGTCCTGCAACCAACATGTCATCCACATACAAAACAATATAACAAAATCGTTATCACCAGACCTCTTGAAATAAGCACAAGGGTATGCATTAAGTCTGTTGTATCTAAGGCACATAATGAAGGAATCAAATCTCTTATACCAACACCTCAGCGTCTACTTTAGACCTTACATAGATTTTTTCAACCTACAAACTAAGTTCTTATTTTCTTTTTCTTCAAAACCTTCAGGCTGGAGCATATAAATCTCTTTTTCAAGATTTCCATGAAGAAAAGATGTTTTAACATCTAGCTTCTCTAGATGTAAGTTCAATGTTGCAAACATTGCCAAAACTACTCGAACTGTTGTTAGTCGAACCATAGGAGAAAAGATTTCATTGAAATCAATACCTTCTTTTAGAGCATATCCCTTGACCACCAGTCTTGCACGATACATCTCAACTTGATCGTCACTATTTCGCTTGATTTTGAAGACCCATTTGTTACCAATTGACTTCCTTCCTTGTGGTAGTGGCACAAGGTCTCATGTATTATTTTTATGAAGGACTTCAATTTCCTCTTGCATCGTCATCATCCATGGTGAAGCATATGAGCTGTTTATTGCCTCCTGGTATGTTGATGGCTCACCGTCCTCTGTTAAAAGTCAGTATGCTATATTACCTTTGTTGAGTTAATCGATCGACGGAATCGGCCAAGAGGGGGATGAATTGGCAATAAAAATTTCGGTGGAAGCTTTTGCAGAAAATTGAAAAGATTTGCACAGCGATTTAGAGTGGTTCGACTTTCTCAACCAAAGTCTACGTCCACTACCTTAGCTATCCACACTAAGGATTTTCCACAAATTCACTAATTTGTCTTTCTTTTGAGGACAAAGAGTAACCTTACAAACCCTCAAGAATTATACCCCAAATTCTTGAGAAAACTCTCTCCCAAAGAGAACAATACAAATTTGCAAACTTACAAGGAAATCCTCACAAGGTAGATTGTTTGCACAATTCTAGAACAAAGAAAAGAACACTCAAGAATGAATACAATTGAGTACAAAAGTGTTCTTGAAAGCAAAATGAATATTGAATGAAAAATAGGCTTGAAATGCTCAAACTTGAGGTTTGATGCTTTCTTTTTGATTCTCTCTTGATTTTAGTTGCTTGATGTTTCTTGTTGTTCATCAATGGCTTCTAAGCTTGTTTAAATACACCTTGAATCACTTCTGAACGTTGGGGATGATTAGAAGAGTCAATAGAGCCGTTTAAGTGTGAAAATAATTAATTAATACAGTTGGGAGCGTCACTGCATCGATGCATACCCATGGTGCATCGGTGCATCAGTGTAAAATTCAAATATTTTGACCGTTGGAACCTTAGTGCATTGGTGCACTAAGAGTGCATTGATGCATCAAGTGCATTCGATGTTTTAAAATAGCCCGAGTGCATCGATGCATGGCTGGTGCATCGATGCATCAAATGCATTCGATGTTCTTATAAAATCCTCAGTGCATCGGTGCATGGTGTGCATCGATGCATGGAATGCATTCGATGTTCAATTTTATTCATGGTGCATCGATGCATGGATTAGTGCATCGGTGCATCACTCTGAAAAATTGATTTTAGGCTTGATTTTGGTTCAAAATACTTTGTGAAAATTGTTTCAAAAATAGTTTAAGTATAAATCACAATTTTACACATTTA